CAGAGAGAAAGACCGAGAAAGAGACAAACGTGGCAACGTGAGTTCTCCAGCTTCCCCTCCGGCGATGTTCCTGTGCGGAGCAGAAACCGCACAAAAGCGCCGCTGCCTTTCACGCGGCGCGCGAGCACCCTGCAGCAGAGGCGCCGTTCGGCCTTCTACAGCCCGCGGGCCTCGGGCCGCTCGCGAAGTGGAAAGCGTACATCAAAGTTGATTTGCTTTTCCCCGAAAAACTATTCGCGATTGCTGCAGAGCGAGAAATAAAAACAGGTTGTCATTTGAAGATAAACACAGGCAACAAACGACACCATATGTATACATATGTATATATATACATATACATTTGTATTTGTATACACGACTCCGCAACTCCTCTCACTGGCAGCGAAAAAACAAACAAACAAACAACAAAGTAAGGGAAGTCTCATTTCAGTGGGAATTCGCCTCTCGAGCGCAGCTCCCTCAGAGGCCCGAGGGAAAATAAAGATCCAAGCCGACATGCACGCATGCACGTGTGATGTGGGAGGAGAAAAGCGAGCCGGGGAAAAAAAAACGAGCCGAAAAACAACTGCAGAAAAACATGCCACGAAGCTCATAACGTGCATGGCTACGAGACCATAATAAGAACGAGAAAGAAACAAAAGTTGGAAGGGAATGGAAAGGGAGTTCCAAGAAAAACGCCGACAAATAAAAAAGTGTCCCCCCCCCCAAAAAAAAAAAGATGGAGCAAAACCTACAAATCCTCGGCAAATAATTCCTCAATTAAGTCCTTGTAGCGCTCGTCGATGACGCGCCGCTTTAACTTCAACGCTGCCGTCAACATGTCATTTTCGGCAGTCCATTCCTCCGCCAACAAGCGCACATGGCGTACCACCTCAAAGCTCTTGCGGTTGGCCTTTCGTGCCGTCGCCTGAAACGACTGTGTTGCCTTCGCGCGAAACTCCTTGCTTTCAAGAATGGCGGGGAAACTGCCAGGGATTTTATTTGCCTTGGCAAAATCCATTGCAAGTTTCTCTGTGGTGAGTCCCAGCGCAACCGTATAACTGCGGCCGGGATGGACCAGTACACACACGCCGTTAGGTGTAATGAGCGAATTTGCCCCGTAGACTGCCTCCATTGTCTCAAGAGCAATATATTCACCGTTGGAATTCTTCGCCAACGCCTTAATGCGTCCCACGATGCTTATCGTACCGTTCGCCGCGATGGCTCCCACATCACCTGTGTGAAACCAACCATCCTCATCAAGGACCTCCCTCGTCTGTTCATCCTGCTTATAATATCCCTTGAAAAGAAAGGGTCCACGCAGCAGAATTTCCCCCCGGGGTTCCGGCTTGTCCGTGTGCTTGTATTCGTCCGCGTCAAGTAGCCGAAGCTCCAGTGACTTGAGCGGCTGGCCAACACTCCCGTAGTCAAGGTTGCCCGGAAGCTGAACGCCACCGCAGCAGACGGTTTCTGTGAGTCCCCATCCTTGAATCATGACACCGAACACAATGTTCATAAACTCCTGTGTGGCGGGGTTCATGGGTCCTCCGCCAGAGAAGAACATACGTGCACGCCCCCCGACTGCATTACGGGCCTGTGCAAAAACCTTGGCGTTATAGTACGGCGTGTCTTTGCCTTCTTTTAAGGCCTTGAGACGAGACTGGCACGCACGGTCAAAGACATTACGCTTAAAGGAGCCTGCTGGGGGGAGTTTGGCCTCCACCCCTCGTTTAATGGTGTCAAAAATGCGGGGAACGCCGGCGACAAGCACAGGATGGTACTCCTCAAAATCTCCCCGCGGTTTGGCAAACACATTTGTCAGCGTCCGTGGACTACCAAACCCAATAAGACAACCACGAAGGAAGAGGATACTCAACACGGCGAGCTCCATAACATGGGCAAGCGGCAAATACGAACAGTACGTTTCTGGCTCCTTGTACTCGCCAAGAATGTCCAGTACACGGCACGCCAACGCGGAGAACCCCGCCGCAATGCTTCCGTGGGAGTGCATCACCCCCTTCGGAGCCCCCGTGGTGCCGCTTGTGTACATAATAAGTGAGAGATCGTCGCAGTTCTCAGAAGTGGGAAGCTTCGCGCATGGAAGCTGGCTCGCCTCACCTTTTTTCAGCACATCGGTCCAAGAATACAAAACATAACCTGCAGTATCCGTGCCCTCTGGAAGTTTATCAAGATAAATAATGACGGAATCGTGCATGTCCTCCTTTCTCAACAGCTCGACAAGTTTGGCAACTTTGTTTCCGCCGCAGATAATAGCTTCGCACTGGGTTTCTTGAAGTGCATACGCAAGGGCATCTTCTCCCAAGTTGGCGTACACCGTAGTTGCCACCATTTGACGAGACCAAATGGCATGAATAGAACAGAACCATTCCCATCTAGTTTCTTCATACAAAGCCACCTTACTTCCCTTCTTAACGTCTATTTCGGTCAATCCCTTCCCCAGATTCTCGATACATGCCCATAGCTGCGCATAGCTTATGTTGCGACGCTGTGGCTCAAACACGTACACCTCCAGCTTCTTTTCCTTGCCATTGGCGTCGGTTGAAGTGACGTACTCCGTATTTTTTAGGACGCGGTACGTCATCGCCGTCCTCTCGCCGCGCTCCATGCAGACATTGTAGACTCTCTGCGAGAGCGTCTCGGAACGGTAGAAGCTCTCAACGAGTTCGTTGTGTTGTTCGTCGGAGGTGCCGCTTATGCGGTAGATGGCGGAGGCGTTCGCCTTCTCCGTCCCCGGCACGGGCTCAGCCTGCTTCCCCCGCTGCATGTACTCCTGATACTCGCGGAAGTCGACGAGGCTCATCTGGTTGCGCTTATCCAGCACCGACGCCAGACACCCCCCCATCTTGTGTAGCTGTGGAAAGTGCTGCCTGAGTGCCTCCTCCCGGCCAAGCTCTTAAAAAAAGCGATAACCTGTGGACAGTTACGTCTTAGTTTCTTCGATGCGTCCAGCGTCTTTTGCCTCTTCGCCAAAATTTCACGCTTTAATATGCAGCTGCCACCATGCGGACGCGGTTGCGCAGGCGAGGAAGGGGGCATCACAAAATAAACACAGAGACAAACGAAGGAAGAGAAACGAATAAGCGCGGGCAGCGAAGGAGAGCTTTCGCAAGTGCCAGAATGCGTCAAGCCAAAACCGAAGGCGAAAGGAAGCCGGAAAAACAAACAAACGCAGCTGGTGACACTACCAAGCGACCACACACACACACACACACACATACACACACATAAGCTCCCTCTCTTCTCGCCACAGGGTCACGTCAATCGGGCGTCATACCTGGGTAGAGCGTGACATGCGGGCCAAGGAAGCGGCCGGCGCGGTTCCACGTGGGCGGAATCCAGAAAATACGACGACCTTGAAGCGTTGTGTATGCGGACATGATGTTGCCGCGGCGGCGGCGTTCTAGTGCCTGTTGCGACGCCCGCGAAAAGAACTTTAGCCGCGGCTCGAGCGAAAGACGCTCTTCAAACTGAAACAGCGGAGGAAATCCCCACGGTGTCATTGCCTCCGACCGCTCCACAATGCGTTGATACAGCTCAAAGTACGAGGCCATGGGGCGTCGGGTGAGCCCCATTTGTCGCATCACCTCCGCTGCGGCGCTAATACCAGCTAACCGGGTTGCCGCACCGCCCTCCAGTTGCCGCTTCGCAATTTCACGGTACGCAGGGCTGCGCACGGCGGATTCATAAAATCGAAAGGCAGTTCGCAGCGTCATCTCCCCACTTGCGACTGCCTCGGCGAGTGTGCGCAGGTGGTTATACACCAGGCGTGAACGGACATCCCCCGGATTCAGCACCGACATCGCCGTGTGACAGAGCCAAACAAACATGTCATCATTCTCCGAAAGCTTGTCGTACACCTTTTTAAAGCGACGCCCCGATATTAGTTGATCGTATGAGGCGCCCTGAATAAACTCCACGAGCGCCTCAAACTCGCTATCACCGCGTGACATGAGTTCCCGCCGCGATCGCTCGCCCTCGAGGTTCTTTGGTATCATCTGCACCTCCCGCATCGCCTCACCGCCGGACGAAAAACGCGCCTTCTGCTTCTCCTTCAGCGGGTCGGTGGTGAAGGAGGCTTTGATGAAGTGGGCCGGGTAATTGGGCGTGGGGTGGATGGGGACAATGACGCGGCGCTTCGCCGCGAACATCGACTTGTCCCGCAGGATGCAGCTGCGCCGCATCATGACTCTCTCGGGGCGTTCGTCTCTGTGCGACTCCTACACAAAACGGCCTTGCGACAGACTGGCAGCCGCCACCCTGTCTCGTCCTCTCTGACGGAACCCAACAGCAAAAAAAAAAAGCGTCAGGCGCACGTACACTGCAGTGCGGTCCGCGCTGACACACTTCGCGCTGGCTCGTGACACAGCCCAAGCAGGCAAAAGTGGTTGCAAGATGCACAGCCCACTGTAAACAGCACAAAAAAAACATGGGGAACGAGAAAAAGCATAACTACCGAATGCGGCTCCATCAAAAGGTAAAAGGGAAACAGCAAAGCACAGCCACGACAACGACAACGACAACAGCAAAAAAAAAAATTAGCCTCAGTCATTCGTGACAACAACACATCCGGAGAGAAAATGTCCGGCAAAGGAGAGAAATTCGAAGTGTGAAAGAGGCAATAGGAAAGATTTCTTCACATTCGGCGGCGGCGTTGTCTCCCCTCCTCTGCTGTTTTCCTCCCGTTTCCTCCTCTTTTCCGTTTCGCCGCCGGTCATTCTGGCGGACACTTCAGTTGGCATCCTCGCTCACGAGGAGCTGTTCCGAAAACATCGGCACAATCTCCTCAATTTTCTGGGTCATTTCCTGCATTGACAAAGAACTGTTGGAAGAAAACTGCGGACTTGTCTGCTGCTCGTCCTGGGCCGCAATCATGTCATCAATAAAGGCACGGCAGGGCTCGAACCAGGAGTGCCGCAGCGCCTCGTCGGCTGTCGGTCTGTCACGTGGGTTGAACGAGAGCAGCTTCTCCGCCACGTCAATGATGGGCGACGTCTCCGCATCCTTGCCTTGTAAAATGGGGGCACGACAGAGTAGCTCACGCAGCATTGATTTGCGTGGACGTTTTTCTATGACTGAAAGGGCGTAGTTCTTGGCGTTCACGGAGGCCCGGGCGAATGGCTGGCCCTCGTTAAACACAGACGCCGGTGGGGTGCCAACGAGGTGAAAGATAAGATTAAGTTGATCCGCAGAGTCGTTGCATTTTCCCGGGAAGAGGTGGCGTCGAAGGAGCAACTCACAGACGATAACGCCCACGCTCCAGAGGTCGTTGGCGGCGTCATACTCGGCGTCGAGGATGATCTCGGGCGCACGATACCACTGCGTCACGACACCAAAGGAAAGCTGTTCGTCTGGGTCAAAGAAGCGACTAAGGCCAAAGTCACAGACAAAGATTTGTGAGTTATAGTTAATCAGGATGTTGCGTGTGGAAAAATCGCGGTGCAGCACCTTGCATCGGTGCATGGCACGCAGGGCAAGCAGCAGCTGACACGTAATGAAACGTATAATGTTTTCTGAAAGCGCGATCGACCTGTTCTTCACCACCGTGGAGAGGTCGGAAGGGATGCAGTCCATCACCACGTACACGTCCTTCTCGCGGCTTGTCGGCCGGAAAAGCAGCCGACACCCCACCACCTGCTCGCAAAACTGCAAGTTTTGCAGAATCTCAATCTCGCGCAGCACACGGCGGACCGTCTCCTCACTCTTCACGTAATTTGGGATCTTCTTGATGGCCACCTGGTCGGTGCCGTAGACCGCCTTGCAGACTGCGCCGTACGAGCCCTGGCCAATGATGGACTCCACCCTAAACATTGGCGGAACATCAAAGATGAGCGGTGCGCTGCTGTTCATCGCCCTTCCCCGCCCCTTCCCTCGGCCTCCTTCCCGCGCACGTCAACCGGCCTGGGGCGGGTAAACCCCGGGGAGGCAGCATATATATAAATATATATATAAGAAAAGGAAAGGAAAGAAAAAGAAAGTAAATAAGAAAAGGAACAAATACGGCACACAAAACGCAGTCAAACGAAGGAGCAGCTGTTCCACGCACCCCGCGCATCTGGCGTCTCGCCACCTCCCCCACCTGGGCCGACGCTTAGAGTCTAGGGGAAAAAGAGACCAAAGGAAAAAGGAATACGTGGTTAGTGAGGTTGCACCAACCTCGTGACTAACCATGGAAGAAATGAAGGAAAAAAGAAAAAAAGGCAAAAAAAAAAAAGAGGGGGGAGAGGGGGAATAAAACATGCTTGTATATCTCTGCATCTCGCTGGATGTCACAGCAATTTCTCTTTCATTGCAGCGCATATCCATACCGTTGGGGAACTTGTTTTTCTTCACAAAGGAGGCAAATAAAAACATTTAGGTGTCTGTAGGCGGAACTCATGAAGGGTGCGTTCTCTCGGCAACTTCGCCATGCCCTGCGGCTCTTATTTTTCGCCAGACCAATTCGCTCCAGACTTGAAAGCCTGACCACTGCAAAGGCGTCAACTGCAAGAATATTTCACAGCCCCGCCCAGGCGGCCCTCTCGCAGTGGTGTTTACTGAAACACGGGAGTCGTAGCTTCAGTCTACAACCCCCGCCCCCCCACCACACACGCAATACAAGTAATACCTTCAACGAACTTCTGCGAACATGCCCTGAGGCAAATATGTAAACCCATACGCCTCATTGCCATGCACTGCAGAGACACCTCACGTTTGCCTGTTGTTTTTGCTCTCCTTTTTTTTTACACCCATCTTGGCTCACGGATATAGCTCCTACACTGACAAGCTGCTGTTGCTGGAGATCCAATTTTTTTTTCGTATTGATGTTGGATTCGTTTGTTTGGTTTTGTTTTTCTTTTTTCAGTTTTATGCGAAACTGCGCCCAAATTTCGGCGGCCCTCGCCTTCTGGAGGGTCGGGGACTCCCGCTGCGCCGTGCCGGAGGCTCTTCCCCTCCTCTGCGCTGCGAGGACGTTGCCTGCCGCTCTTGCTGCAGAGGCAGAGACCTCGCCCCGCACGCACTGCACGCGAGGAGCACACACACCCCTCCCCTCCACCCGCAGAAGCAGCAGAGCGAAGCCTGCGCGCACTCACACTCACACACACACAAAAAAAGGCAAACGGCACGAAACAACAATCCCCCAAGTAAACAAAACAATAAAAAAAATGAATTCCCAAAACGTCTTCAACCACGTTTAACTTCTACGGAAACGCGCTTTGTATGTACCACACAAACACACATAAATAAAACCAATACGAAAAAAAAAAGCCTGAAGAAAAACAAAACAAAACAAAAACGGCGGCCACGCTGGTCCGTGGTCACCGGTGTCAAAAAGGAAGAAAAAAAAGAAGAAATGAACGAAAAAAAAAAGTATTAGCTGTAATAAATGAAAAAGAAGGTACACATACGTACAGACCCCCAACAGGCACAAACCAGGCACACGGAAACGGCTGCGAAGTTAAGCACCCAGAAGGGGTAAATAATAATAAGAAAATACGCATTTGGGACACGCATGACAGAGGAGGACAAAAAAAAAGGATTAAGCTAAACTATATATATATATATATGTGTGTGTGAAAATAACGAGAAGGCCGATCACCGTGCCGCCTCAACCCACCGTGGTCTGTTTTTTTTTTGGGGCCCCACCTCTTTCGCTGTTCCTTTGCCCCCCTCCGCAGCTCTCGCAGCTCCTTTTCCAGCTCCACCCGACACACTCACACACCCCTGGCCCCCGTAGTGGGGAACGCGGCGTGGCATCGCCAACGCAACAGCCCCATGCAGCGGGATCTATCGGCAGAGCAGTTCATAACGACGTGCGTCAAGGAGTGAGCAAAAAAAAAAAAGAATCCCCGTTAAAAATGAGGGTTAAAGCAGCAGCGGCAGAAGTGGGGGATGATGCCCATTCCGTCGGGGGTAAAAAAAGTAGGGGGTGGGTAGGTGGGCTGCTGCGGAAGGGCTCCACGGCAGTCGTAGCACACACAACCATTTCCAGACGGAGCCGAAACTAAAAAAAAAACAACGAAATTTCTTACAGAAAAAAAAAAAATTATTTTTATTTTTCATCTTTATTTTTTCATCGCTCTCTTTGCGTGTGTATTGTGTGTGTGCGGTGGCTCAGGACCCATCGACCCGCGCTGCTGTTGCATGCAGAAAGAGAACTGCGATCGGGGAGAAACCCGGTGAAAAAAGTCCCAACCCCGATCCACGCACACACACACAGAGGTAGAGAGAGAGAAATAGACAATAAAACCTAAATTAATAACAAACCGAATAAAAAACAACAACATAAATATATTGAACGTTACCACGCACAACCGTGCGCACAGTCGTGTATATACACACGGGGATGCGTGGGCACACAGACACGTGTATCCGTTTTTTTTTCTTAGTTTCATTTCCCCGCCCTTACAGGATAAAAACCCCAGACATAACATATTATAAAACAAACGAAACATAGCGCCAATAATGCATGGCACTTATTCTTTGAAGGTACGAAAACACAGCCCAAGTTTACGGTTGTTCCCAAAGGAGAGCATTTGATAAAG